TTCCTGTGGCTTCCTTCGTACTGGATCGCCCCTATTCTGACATTCGTATCTGTGATATAACGTCTAACAGGAGTGAAGATGTCTTCATTAGGGTTTAGCTGCGGGGTCTGGAAGGGGCTTGCCATTGTCTGGGGCTAATTATGTCGATGGTTAATGTATCCTCCTTGTGTAGAAGACAATACATTTTCTTTTAATGTATTTATTTAACCTTGAAATTTACTAAGCTTTTCCATTTGTACTTCTTGTTTCCTTTCTTGTTCCAGTTGCCACTGCTGTAGTATCTCTTCTTGTTTATTTTCTCGTTCTTATTTCTTTTGCTGTTCCTCTATTGCTGCCATCAAGTCTGTTAAGTTGTAGTTTGATTTGCCGCCACCTCTTTTTCCGTCCCACTCTCTGACACCAATTTGTTGTGTATGTGCTTGTTTGTTAATTTCCTGTATAAATTCTTTCCCAGGAACTTCCCTTTTTGATTAAAACATTTTATTCTTTCTCGATACAAACTTTTAGTACACAGTCAGTACGTTTCTCGTCACTTTAGACTTAACTATTTTTATAATACTCTCTATAAATCACAGCGATTCACAATCTCTAAATTTTCTCTCTACGAGTACAAACACTTTATATTACCGTCGCCACTGTTCGGTTCTTTAATTATATATCTATTGCTGGCATCTCTGCCAGGCTTCTCGGATCATTGATGATCATTCGAGAAATTCATCACGTGCCACCAGCGTCACGTGACTTCCGCTGTCGTAACCATACGTTCATATTGGATAATGTTATCCAGTGGTTGTTATAAATATTAACAATCAGGATAAATTCTCTATCTGCTGTACCAACTCTGGAAACCATCCATATGTGGAAATTGAGCATTCAGTTGGTATTGACTATGATTATTAATTTCATAATTTAACCAGCCTGTGAAGAATCTAAAACTTGTTATTTGATGCATGTTGCTAGGTTCTAAATGATATACTTTAGTAATAAGTCTTCTTTACCTAACAACTTATTTTTCTCATTATTTCACCTTACCCATTTTCCACTTGTGACAGGCAGCAAGTCAATAGTGATGCAATACGTAACCTCTCGTATATAGATTTCCTGATTCAGTGCTGCCTTCTGATTACAAACTTTTTTGGTCGCTACAAACTATGAGATTCACACCTATAATCACATGCTTCCACGTGATGTTGTATTCAAAGAACAACCTTCCACCAATAGGAGTGCAACACACCCTCCTTGTTTAGCTGACTCTCTCTATACTATAAGAAGATGATAACGAAACTTTGTCGAAACGTTGTACATTTGCTGATTTGTTAAACTTGTATTAAAGTTTTTCTTCATTACCCATTCAAGCAGTCTCCAAGCATTATCCTCAATTGTTTCAACAGCCACAAA